CTTTTCATTATTGGGTTGTAAATGTACTTTAGATACTGTAGATGTCAGCCCCTTGCCAGGCATATAATTTGCAGATATTTTCTCATGTTCAGTGTGTTTTTTTTTTACTTTGTTGATCATACCTTTCAAAGCACAAACGTTTTTAATTTTATTGAAGTCTAGCTTATTTCTGTTGACTGTTTTTGGTGTCATGTTTAAGAAACCATTACCAACACAAAGAAATACCTTTATTGTTTCCATTGAAAGTTTTACAGTTTTAGTTCGTATGTGTAGACATTTCATCCATTTGAGTTAACTTTTGATGTATGATATGAGGAAGAGGAATACTGTTCCGAATTCATTTTCCACATTTGTGCTGCTGCTGCATGAAGTGCCATTGGTTTCGTGTGTTGTTCTTGACTCTTGTGACCTTGGTGACCTAACTCATTCGTTCTGGGAGTTCTTAGTGTATTTATTGAGATTTTCTATAAAGGTATTTGTGTTACCTAAAAATGGAAAAGTTTTATTTCTTCTTTTTCAGTCTTTATGTACTTTATTTCTTTTTCTTGGCTTCTAGTAGTACATCCATAAGAATATGTATGATGTTATCTGTTAAGTGTGATTTTAGATGTACTTTATCAAGTTTGGAATTTAATACTTCTAATTTGCTGAGAATCTTCATAATGAATAAATACATAAATGTCTTTTTTTTGCACTCTGATACAATTATGTGCTTTTTCTTTAACTGGCTTGCCATGGCTTTTAAATATCAAAGAGTTCAAGATTATCTGCAGCTGGATTTCTCAACCTTGCCACTATTAATAACTTTTAATACAGATTTATTGGGAAGGCTGTCTTGTGCATTGTACCCACACAGTGCCGTAAGCATGGTCTTCTCACCAAGTTGAAATAATTAAAAATGTCTTCAGAAATTGCCAAATATCTCCATGTGACAAATTAGTCATTGCTGAAGAAAGTATTTATCTATACCTCACACATTTTTTCAGTCTAGGTTTATTATTTGCTGAGAGAAGGGTGTAGATCTGCGACTGTTGTTCTGGAATTACTTATTTTTCTCCTTAAATATATTATTTTATGTGATCCTTTTATTGGTATATGTACATTTATGACTGCTATTTCTTCATGATAAGTTGAACCTTTTATCAGTGTGAAATATTTTTCTGTAGCTCAGATAATGCTCTTTGTTCTAAGATCTGTTTCTATTTGATACTAATAAAGATATTCTCATGCTTTCTGTTTGTATAGACATATTTTTCTTTCTGGTTAATTTCAAGTATCTATGTCTGTGTATTTAAAGTATATATATATTTTTCCCGTGTTACCACTTGAAGTTTTTATGTCCAGATTTATTTTTTTTAATGTAATACAAGTAAATACTAATAAAGAAAATATAAAAAACATTCTTCTTACTTTTGTCTATTTATATTTATTCTTATTTTTTGCCTTTAAATGAGATTATCTAAACCATTAATTTTTCATTTGTTTATTGGTAGGGCTAGATTAAATCTGCCATTTTATTATGTTTTCTGTTTGCCATTTCTGTATTTCTTCTTATGTCCTTTGCACTATTTCACTTTTAAAAATTCCATGACATTTTTTGAATATGTTTTCTTCCATCCTTACTCAATAAATTACCATATACAGCTTTAATTTTGCAAATTCCTAGCGTTAATATTTTACTGTCTTACAACATATAGAAAACTGTCTAGGTCCGTCTTTGAGACTGCTTACTATAGAAAATTAAAAAAGTTTCCCCTCTTTCATTGAATACTAATATTATTTCTAATACAGTGACACCATATTAAAAAGCAATAACTTCTTAGAGTATGAAGAGGTTTCCTAGAAAGGAGATGATAACATGGATTTGGGTTGCTAGTTATTTTCCTATTTATATTCACTTTTGATAGGTGGATTTTTTTGCCCCCTGTTTTCTTCCTGTAAGTAAGCATTTGCGTTAGTATTTTGTTCTTAGAAACTTTAGTTGTTCATGGGAAATTTCTGGTGTTATGATTATGACCTATTCTAAATATTAGTTGACATGTTTTATTGTTTTAAAGACTTAATAAAAAATTTAAGTCTAACTTGATATTTTTATAACTGCTGTCACATAATTCTTGAAGAAAAATCAATCTTTTCCTTAATTTGATTTTTATGTAATTGAGTTTGTGACTTATGCTTTTTTAATTATGTTGTTTAATAAATGGTGAAGTTAGCAATACTGGGAAATACCTCTGTAGCTCTTCTGTTAAGAGTTTATCTGTATACACATATCAATATGACTCCTGGTTGGGTTTTGTTAAAACCTCTAAATTTTAGTTTTTTAATCGTTCTAAAGCTAGTGACATTTTAGAAAAGCCAGTTTCATAGTTTTTCATTATTGGAGTTAAACTTAGCAACAGAGATAAAGCAAAAAGGATTTGCTTTATCTCTGTGTAAGCTGTTTTATAGTGTGCCTCATTTTAATCTGTAAAAGTTAACTTAGTGGCATAATTTGTGCCAAAAAACTTTACCTTAATTGTCACAAATTTATATTATGATGTCATCAGATGTCAGCATTACAAAGGTTGAATTTATGTATATTTTAAACTTACTCCTTGGTATATACCTAAAGGAAGTAAAATCAGCATGGGAATACCTGCATACCCATGTATATTGTGGCTTAATTCACAATAGCCAAGATATGAACCAACTCAGTGTCTGTCCAAAAATGAATAAAGGAAGTGTATATTTGTACACTAGAGTAGTATTAGTTAGCTTTAAAGAATGAAATTTTGACATTTTCAGGAAAATGATTGGATCTGTGGATCATCATGTTGAATAAAAGAAGCTGGACTTTGGAAGACAAAAATTGCATATTCTCTCCGTAAAAAAAGATGAATGAAATGAGTGGAGGGTTTTATTCAGCAAGAGGAAAGGAATAAAGGGGAGAGTGAGGATGTAGAAGGCAGGGCATAGAGAGAATGTATGTGATCAAAATACATGTTTTTAAACCTATTACTTTAAAAACTAATAGGCAGTAGTAAAAGCAAAAAAAGGAAAACCCCTGCAAAACCACTTCTCTGATTGTGTCAAGTAATGACATGTATAGTAATGTATCTTTCCAAGGTATACCTACATATAAGGTAGTATATTTATTATAAAATAAGAAAATGTTCATATGCACAATGGAGTATTATTCAGTTCTAAGGGAGAATGAAAACATGTCATTTGCAGGAAAAGAGATAGAACTGGAGATTTCCTTGTTAAGCAAAATAAGCCAGGCTCAGACAGACAAGTGCTGTATTCCATGTTTTCCCTAATATGTGGATTTCAAGAAAGGTGACATGGAAGTAAAACGGAGATTCTTATTAGAAAAGGGGATGGGAATAAGGAGGAAGAGGGACTAAGGGAGGATAGACTGGGATGGAAAACAAGAGTTGCTCATTATATCTTTAAAAAGTCATGGTTTTTTCATTGATACCAACTCGGTTTGAGTACATTGTGATCACATTCATCCTCCAACCCTTCTTCGCCTCCCCATTTGTTTTTTTTTTTTTTTCCTGGTACCGGGAATCTAACTCTTTACTTTGCACCTGCCACGCAGGTGCTGTGCTGCTGAGCTAAATCTCCAGCCCCTCCCCTCCCCATTTGTAAAAGCTCTGTTTCCTTCAGTTTTTAAAAACATTCCACTTTCCTTTCCTCCCTTCCCTCTCCTCTCCTTATTCCCTTTCCCACTTGAAAAAGTTTGTCTCTTACTTACACTTTGAATTTCTCACACAAGAAAAACAATGTGATGTGTGTCTGATTTATTTCACCTCTGATTATGATCTTGAGATGCATCCATATACCTAAAAATGACTCGTTTATCCTTCTTTAAGGCAAAGTAGTTCTCCATTGTATATAAATACCATATTTTCTTTATCCATTCATCTATCCATGAGCATATGCAGTGTTTCCAAGATTAAGCTATTATAAATTGTGCTCCTATAAACATGGGTCTGTGTGTATCACCATGGTATGAGGACTTTAACTCTTTTGGGAAAACATCTTTCAGTAAGGGAAATAGCTAGGTCAAATGGAACCTCTAGTTTTAGTTTTTTTGAGGAATCTGCACACAGATTTCCATAAGTTGTTGTACCAATTTATACTCCCAGCAACAATGGAGAAGGGTTCCTTTCTCCCCTGGAGCCTTGGCAGCATTTGTTATTAATTTCTCGATGACAGTCATTTTTTCTGAGTGAGATGGAATCTCAGTGTTTTAATGTGTTTTTTGAATGGATAGTGATGTTGAACAGTTTTTCATGTATTTATTGGCCATTTATACTTCTTCATCTGAAAAGTGTCTATTCATGTCAGATTCCTGTTTTTGGATTGAAACTTTAAATTTGAAGGGTCTGATTTTTTTTGAAGTTTTACATATTCTGGGTATTTGTCCTCTATCTGAAGAGTAGGTGGCAAAAACATAAGAAATCGTCATTTTGACATAAATGTATTGAGGTTAAAAGGTGACCATTACATTCTGTTAGGTGAAATAGATTACAAAACAGTATACATGGCCTTGCCTATTTTACAATTTTCAGCAGTGTTACTAGTTTATAGAGATATTGTCTAAAATGGTATTCACCTTGCTGTTTTAATCTGTCTCTGGGAGTGAGATTCTGGATATACTTTTCAAGAATATTATTTAAGCCTTGTGTTATAAAATGTTTCTAGAGGGAGGAGATCAAGAATTGCTATAAGTATATGAGGTGATAGGTAATGTTAGTTTGTAGTAATCAATTCACAACATATATGTATCTAAAACCATGATGTAAATTTTAAATATGATTTTATGTATCAGTTATATCTAAATTAGAATCTATTTAGTTCCAACTATTAGGGTACTAAAAAGCTAGGTCAGGACAATCTACCCATTTTTCTTAAGGTACCAGTATGTTTCTCAACTCCTGGTAATTCTTTTAAAAAATGATAATCAAATGGAAGCTTAATCTTACTGTACTTCTTTTTAAAATTTTTTGCAGGAGAGGGCTGCTCACAATTTATATGGCCAACTTGGTAAGTAATACTCATTTTTTAACTCTTGTGTTTTTTCCCTACATGGTTTTTCTTTTCTTTTCTCAATTACATTTCCTTTCTAAAAAAGGAAAAAGGGAAAACCATTGAATTAAACAATGTTTTCTGCTTGGGTTTTGAAGGGTAGACTTACGTGTTTAAAAGAACCCTGGTACCATCTGGTTTGTTTCTTTCGTACAGGACTGACTTCTGCTTATCTCTAGGAGGAAAGTAATGCAATGCTCCGTACCCTTCATGACTCTTTGTCTAGCTCTCTCTATAGATATCGAACTTCATATCCCAGTGCCATTTCTTATGTGGAAAAATATGTTAAGAATGTGTTTTTATGATGTGCTTTCTTAATCATTGAAACAACAGTGGTATAATTTCTAAATGCTTAGTACCTTTTTCAATATAATTACCTAGGCTTCCAAGCTTCTAAGTTTACAGAAATGAAGTTATGTTATTTAGCCAGACTTTCTTTACAGTAAAAATACAATCAAGGTTTTATAAATTTTACCACCAAGTTCCTATTTTAAAGACATACTTGCAGTAAGATCTTTTAAGGTTGTTCAGTAGATTTGATAGGCAACATTAAAAAAGATTCAACTAAGAAAAGATAATTATTTACCTAAGGATATCTTCTTAAATTCTGTTACAAAGGCATATATTTGTATATTTCAGAGATATATTTTGTAAAACATTTTAGTGATAATTTTTGTTTAATACCATGTGTTACCATGTGTTGCTATGCTAGGTGCAAGTGAGCATGTATTCATGGTTTACTATGAGTGGAGAATTCACAGTGGAAAATAATAATGGGCTGAAAGATGAGTTATAAGTTAGTATGGGAGACACAAGAGTAGCACCAGATTTATCCTGAGGGGAGGTGTTGGGTCAGAGAAAAGTGGTTCTAATCCCTTTTGCATCATAGATCACTTTGAGAATATGACAACATATATGAACATTCTTCATAGGAAACTGTGTGTGTACAGCAGGACACTCAGATTTCTGTATGCTTTCAGAGGTTTCATGTACCACCGCTTAAGTCAGCCTAGGGTGCTATCAAGTAAGTCATTTCAACATATGTACTGCAAAAAGTGAAGTGTTCTGAGCTGTTTTAATTGCAGTGAGATGGAAATTTGAGGATCCCAGGAGAGCAGAGAATAAAGAATCTCCTTTTCATTTTTATTGTTCTTGAAAAATTTTACTAAAAAGTAAGCTGTATGAAATCACTATTTCTGGATTACTTCCCATTGTACTACAAGCACCTAAATAGAGTCCAGCATCTCATACAGAGATTTTGTAAATGTTGAATTAATAATACTCTTGCTAGGCATAGAATCCTAACTTGATAATGATCTAAAGATAATCCTTTTGTTGGAGTACAACATTGTTTGTTGTTCTCTATAGATTTGGTTTTAATTTGTAGGTAATCTCTTTTTCAATTGTCTTCAAGATTTTCTTTTGAAGTCTTTATCTGGGCAAGTTGGAATCATTAGGATGTACACTCATATTTATGTTGTTTGATCAGGACTCAGTTTGCTTCTTTGGTTTGAGGATTAATATCTCTGAATTTAAATGTTTAGGCACACTTTCTTTGACTCTTGCTTTTCCCTGATCTTTCCATTCAGTTATTCTGGAACTCCTTTTAGATGTATGTCAACACCCCACTTTCCCCCCCACCTCCTTTTTCCCCCTCCATGTATCTTTAATTGCATGTTAGTATTTTTCCACCTTTTCATCTTTTCTGAGTTTCGGTTATTTCTTCAGATCTGATTTCAAGGTAACAGTTTATCTGTGTGGGTGCATGTTTGTCCATGTGTGTTTTGGGGAATCAAACTTAGGGCTTTGATTTTAATGTACTGCTTAACCTATCCATTAAGTATTTGCTGTTTTAATTAGTTTTGGTTGAGACAGGGTCTCACTATGTAGTTTAGGCTGGGCTTGAACTCACTGTGTAGCTCAAGCTGGCCTTGCACTCACAGTAATCCTCCTGCCTCAGCTTCCTGAGTACTGGGATTACAGGTGTGTGCCACCATACAAATCAGGCATTTACTTTTAATGATGGCATTTTAACTTTAAAAAGGTAATAAGCTTTAGAAATAATAAAGTAATAATAAAATTCAGAAAATTATATATTTATAAAAAAATCTAATGTATCTTTGTAATACTTTCCCCATCATTTATTGGGCATAAACTGTTTATTTTTTCATGTGGTAATTTTTATAATATTTTCTGTTGAGACAATGAAAAGATTATCTAGTCTTTCCTCTTGCTTTCTTGATCTAACATGCATCTCAAATTTTTGGTATTTGGGATAGCTAACACCTATAATTTAACACTTACTGTCTGTTTTGAATTCTGATGTAGGCAGTAGTTCTAAAACACAATAATTAAAAAAAAACTGTAGTAAAATTTCCATCAATAAAAAAATACTATAAAATTTTGGTACATTTATAATTATTATAATTGTATTCACTGATAGGAGAACTTTGATTTTAGCTATTTCCTGTTAAGAATCAAGTGATCTCCTTATTATTTTACATGTTTGGTGATTGGAAGAAATTTTGACAGTTTTCTGGCTCTGTGAACTTAAAATCATATTTCTTGGTCATAACCTATGAGATTTCAGGGCTTGGCACCCTGGGCCATGCCCATATGTTAGTATGGCTTCTGCTGCCATACTTTTTGTTATGACAGGTTATGTCAGCACAGTGAATGAGAGTATTTAGGGAAACCACTCTTTCATGGACAATTAGCAGTCAGTTGTTTATGCCTAGAAGCAAGTGGAAAATAAATAATGAATATGTCTTGCTGAACTCAAACTAAATGTATCCCAACTCAACTACTAGTAAGCTGGATCCTGAAATGCTTCTGCCTACCCTGTGCTATTCACTCACTACAGGATGTGGTGTTACAGAGAAGTCATCATAAAGCCACAGTGATCTAAACCATCAGTCATAATACCTAAGGTTTGCAAGTTTTATCAGAATGTGATTAATTGAACAGAATACCTAGGACCTTTTTTCAAGACTTGGAAAAAGCCCATGAAAACGAGTCGTCGGTGCCTGTCTCACTCTCTTCTCTCCTTCATTCTCTGCTGACTTCCATGTGCTTCTGTGTGGTGGACACAACAGACTTGTTTTCTCTTTAGCACCTTGGTATTTGCTGTTCTCTATATTTGAGCTTTTAGCCTCGGTATCTGCATTTCTTATGCTTTCATGTTATTGAGACTGTTGAAATGTTACCGTTAAAGGGCCACCCAAATCTATCCTACGTGAAAGAACAGTCAACCTTTGTGTCATCTACACCTTTGCACACCCCCTACCAGATATTTTTTGTCATCTGACTTTTGGGGGGAACTTACTGTTTTATTGTGTATCTTTCCATCTTGGAATTCAAATTTAACATAGGGCTTTTGTTTTTAGTTACATTATTGTATCATGCCAAGACCACTGTGAATTATAGAGGAATATGTTTATTAAAGAGAAGGATTTGCCAGGCGTCCTGGTGCATGTCTGCAGTCCCAGCATTTGGAAGGCTGAGGCAAGAGGATCATGGCGAGTTTCAGTTTGAGGCTAGCCTGGATTACAAAGTGAGTTCAAGACCAGCCTGAACTGCATAGTGAGACCCTGTCTCAAAAAGACCAGAAAAGAAAAAAAAAGAAAAAGAGAAGGATTTATAGGTGAGATGCCAAATTATATCTAGAAACTTATTTCAAATCTTATTTTGAATAATACTTTATTAATACTACTTTGCATTGATTGGCTATATTAGCATGATATTTTTGATTAAAAGATGCAGAGATTGAAAGTTGGTGTTTATATTATTAATTAAAGCATATGACTTAGTTTTAGCTAAGTGTGAACATTCCTTATAATCCAGAAAAATATGTAGCTGGTAGAAATTATCTACTTTCAAGCTAGATATAAATTTATCAAGTGACAAATGAAAAATTAAAACAATTGATAAATCTTTGTTATACATTATCTATATTGTATAAAATATCTTAAATGTTTTAAATAGCTTTTGTACTAGTTTCCCCTTTCTTATCTTCTAAAAATGTCTAACTCATATGCCTACATAGTAGGATGGATTTGAGTTTTAATATATTTTCCTAGCCATTCACAAACGTTTCCATACCTAGTACATAGTATTTACTTTAGTACCCAAATACTGTATGTATTTAACTTTAAGTTTGTCTGTATGTATTTAACTTTAAGTTATGTTAACTTCTAAAATTTGTTTTTGTTTCTTTACTTAAAGTGTAAGTTTCTGGGCAGGAGATCTTTGACTTTGATATAATCAGAATTTGAGAATGTGCTTAAAATACTATATTTTAAGAAAATTAAACCTTTACTTTGACATAGTTGTAGATTCATATTATGGTTGTAAAAAGTAATACAGATATCACCAGTCATCTTTACCCAGTTTTTCCTAGTAGTAGCTTCTTTCAATTCTGTAGCACAGTATACTAATAAGGATGATTAACTGATACAAGTCAAGATGTGAAATGTTTCGGGCATGTCAAGGATTTCTCACGCTGCTCTGGTAACATTACCCCACTGCTCTCTTCTCTACATCTCCTTCTTATCCTTGACAACTAGTATTTAGTTTTTTATTTCCATAATTTTTTCCATCTCAAGAAAGTTATATGAATGTAATCATATGATATGTTACCATGTGAGGTTAGCTATTTCACTCAAAGTAATTCTCCGGGGATTTATTTAGGAGATTCATTTGTTGCTTATATCACTAGTTCATTTCTTTTCATTGCTGTAATATTCCATAGTTTGGATGTATCCATTGAAGAACATCTAGCTTGTATCTGCATTTTAGTTATCATGAATAAAGCTGCTGTAATACTGCTGAGTACTCCTGTACAGTTTTCTTCATTTGTCTGGGTAAATGCTGAGCAGTGCAATTGCTGGGCTGTACTTTGGTTGTATGTTTAGTTTTTAAAGAAACTGTCAAAATGTGTTCCACAGGAGTGGCTATGC